TGAATTGAATAGGCTAGGCGAGTGCAATAAAAATATTAAAACGCCTTAATGAACTAGTATATAACTAGTATAAAACTGATGCATAGACGGTCAAATGACAGTTTGTGTGACACCGGCGTGACACAAATATCGGTTGTTTATATGGAAAATACAATAAGAGATGAAAGTTTCTGGAATTTGTCATATTTATTTAAATCAGCACTTTTTTTTGATAAGTTGGCAGCACAGAGCTTAATTATTATGCCAAAAATGAGCAGTATTTTTCAAACCACTTCGTTTGCAGCAGCTGTTGAAATCAGTCGAACTCAGTTCCCACTGCGAAATTTCTTTTACGGCCTCAATCGAGTCCAAACGGGTTGCATGGAAAACAAACTTTAGTTTTGGAAACAAAAATAAGTTCGAATGGGCCCAAATCCGGTGAATACGGTGGTTGATCGATGGTATTGAACGAGTTTTTGGTCTTAAAATCGTTCACAACTACAGCGCGGTTCGATGGCGCATTATCGGAAATTGAAGGCCAACGATAATAATAATAATCATGTAATACTCTTTATTGACCGTCTGTATCGATGGAGAGAATTCATGGTGAACCAAACAACGAATAACAAAAAAAAAAAAAAAAACAATATCCGCACACTTCCTGCTCTTAATGTACACGGTGGAAGATGAACTAGTTAGTGTAAGCATACCAACCAGTTGGATTCTATTTATCAACTACTATTTTTCCCTGCAAGGATATGCTGAAATAGCCCATAGAGTTGAACTATTTTATATTTAAATTTTATTTAGATTTAATTGCGCTCCCCATTCAAAGAGCATGTTGCAGTGCACTTCCACTTAGTGCGCTGGATATGAGTTAGATTAATCCATATGAAATCAAAATAAAACTACCACAATTATATTTCAGTATTTATTAACATGCGCTTATTTGTAAAAATTGCAGACGAAATTATAAAATTTTGCAACTCAAAATTTTGTAAATTCATTTTCCCCCATAAACCAGTTCACAGAGCACATCTCCAATGAATACGAGATATCCTTTCAAATCGCAGTCTCCTTTAACTGGAAAAATACCATCATAATGGCAGTCATGTTGTTCATGTGCTTGAAGAGCGTGAACTATTTTTTGCCTCTCCTGAACACTTCAGGTATTTTGAGTTGTGACTCTTTTCGATTTAGTGTACGTTAAGCAAAAGTGAACTCTCGTTAATACGACCCTGTGATCTTGCAAAGTACTTTACAATTCAAAGTTACCACGAGTTTCCTAGAAAATCTCTTAATATTTCGAATCAAATCAATAAATTTTTAACGCACTTTCTAATTGGAACCAAAAACTCGTTGCTACGAGTAAGGAGTATGAGAATTGTATTTAAAAAGTTTGTGTGGTGAAATTGGAAGTGTTTAGTGATAAAGTTTGCCTGGAATGGTACGGTAATTTGAAGATTTTCTTTGAAAATCATAGTTTTGAGACTGAGACAATTTAAAACTGCTTAAACTGGACGCATAGTTTTAAAGAAGAAAACTGTCATAGTCTACTATACTTTTGACTAGAGATTGAGTGTTTTACTTGCAGTCAATATGGACGGATTGGGATGTCTTAAACTCTTAGTAGAAAAAAAGTAGAAAAATCGCAAAGTTTGAAAATAAAAAAATGTTTCTGAATGATTGCCTAAGAAAAAAGCTAGAATGACATTAGAATTTTGTAACAATTGGCTTTTCGCAGTAAATGGACACATAAAACTGTCCGCAACAGTCGTCTTACATAGTTCAACTCTCCGCCGAAAACAACATGCAACATGCATGCGAATGCCTAAAAATGATCAATTAACAAGGGGGTCCATTCATCAATGATTTTTAAACGTTCTAATTCAAAGTAATTGTTAAATGTGAACGGTTCTCATGGCTATTTCATTGATTGGTGAGGCTGGGCACCTGGAATACACCTAACGGTTCTTAATTGATGAGGAAAATCTACAAAAAATTATAGATGATGACGAACCAGCTGTAGAACCCCTAGTTCATATTAGCTGTTTCAGTTTTTATAACCTTATATGAGTGGTTGAAGATGTTGCTGTCTCAGTTTCACCAAGTTTCATCTGTCACAGTTACAAATGAACAAGAGAAAGCAACGATGAAGATGTAGACGATGCATCGCATGCTTCGGCAGAGGTCTGAGACAAGTAACCAGGAGTCTCATTCACACCTTACAAACTTCTGTAAACAAAACGAAAGTGATGAAAAGCATTTCGATTACTTTTTATTTTAAAAAATTTATTGAGCAGTCTGAGCTGTAGCAATGTACTTTGAAGTAAACCAATTCTTTCGAAATATTAATTAGTTCATATTAATAATATGTACACATATGCACTTCTCAATTTTACATTCATTAAATATTATAGACTTATTGAGTGTCGACATTTTAATTCTCTCAAAAATTTCGAGCCATTTGTTGTTTTGAATACCACGTAATATTTTTCGAGTCCCTCAAGATTCGGTTTAACGGCAGTCGACTGTATTTATGTATGTGTTTATTTCAACCTCAACCGTTTATGAATGTTTTTTGTTGTTATTTTTATGTAAACTAGTAAATCCAGTTAACTGTACATACATATAATATATTTCGTACATTTCTATATATGCATTTAATGCACTGCCCACGGTAAGAGTGAGAAGTGCACATTTTCACCCAATTTCCATAACTAAACGTCTAAGTTGAGTGGCCCTTCAGAACCGGCAAATAAACAACTATTCAGAGTTTTGTTTGTATGCACTGTATATATGCATATATTGTTGTGAAATATAATATAAAGGGTGACACAAAAACAGTTTTCATCGAACACCTAAAACTACAAAACTTCACCTTTGCTTCTGTTGCAGGTTGTTGATGTTACCCGCATAAATATGGAGAGCTTGAGAATCTGGGAATTGTATAAAAAGATGTGGCTTCCTACAGAAAGTTTCAAGACCGAAATATAACCTTGCAGGACCCATAGAAGTGATTTAGAGGCTAATGAACAGAGTTTACTAAATTTGAGGTCCAGCCTGCTGCATGGTAGTGAAAATGCTACACATGGGGATGGAGAACCGGAAGCAACAATAGGTGGTGATGGAAAATATGTTTCATTATCCGGTTATCTCAAGGTTTGAATAGCGATTGTCCTCCTATAGAACAACAAATTGGCAGAACTATTCATAGCATAGCGGTGAAGGACTCACAAGGTGGCTGCATGAGTTTCCTCCCAGCATATGGTCGGACGAAAGCATACAACCTAAGTGTTGTCTACCCAGTTCGTAGAAATGAAGATGCTACGGTCTGCACAAATTTTTTTTTGGGTTAGACGCCTAATTTTTGCATATAAGGTTCCATCGAGTGAATCGTATGTAAGACTAAAGGTTAAAGTCAATAAGCTGATTGGATCTTATATGGATGTCTTTAGACTTGGTAATTTCACCACTAACCAGATATTCACCAGGTGAAAAATATGGAAAAATGCCGTAAGAAAAGAATCAATAAACAGCACCTTTCCGTCGATTTTAAACCTGCGATGGATAGCAGTGCTAGGAACTACTTTAACGTTGCTATGTCTGAATACCGTATTCCATAAAAACTTATATAGATTTGCAAACTGACGCTTGGGAAGAACCTTTCCGCGCCGTTCGACACTAAACGAGCTTTTATACAGGGTGACTCTAACAGTTAAGTATTCTATTGACGAACCAGAACAAGCTCTACAAGTCACTCATCATTCTCGTCCTGCTATAAGGTGCAGAAGAGTGCAGATTAGCAACATCCGCTCAGGCGTTCCTGGAAGTCTTCCAGAGAAAAGTTTTCCGTAAGATTTATGGTAGTTAGTACAATAGTGCAGTAGTCATGATGGATAGGTCATATCGTCTGAATGATGAACTCCACCTTTGAAAGTATTCGATGCAGAGCACGAGCCTGTGAAAGCAGAGCAAGAGGAAGAGCTGTATTCCATTGGTTTCACTTGGTATTTCTCGCTGGCACCAAACGTGGAATAGAAGAAACGAAAGGCGTGCTGTTGTTGATTCGGCTATGATCGCGTAAGCGGTGTCCCTAAGTGACTTGATGAGTGAACTGATAAATGTGTTACGAAAACTGTGATCGTTCGAGGCGAATGACTGTTGAGAATGGATGCATGCATTTATAGTTTTGTTATTAAGTTTTAACAATTTTTTATACAAAATAAAACTAAATTAAAATAAAATTCAAGTCTGCTGGATTTGTTAAAGTTTTATTAATTTTTAAAGTTTTATTAATTTTTATTAATTTACTTTTAGAGTTCTGACAAACTTCAAATTAATTTAATAATAATTAGATAATTAATAAATATTAGATAATATACTATATTATAAAAATAAAAGTAAACCACTTAAACCACCCATTTATTTACATTCATGGCAATAACTATGTGGGTATGGCTAAACAAGAATTTATGGAGCATGTGTCAAGCGCAGAAAATCTAAATGTGACCACAAACTGCCGTTGTAATGTTAAATCTAGTAATTTAACTGCCCTTTTAGCTGACAAAATTGACAGGCAATTTCATGCTTATTTCAAAACGTTGATTAAAATCATTTGAAATAAAAAATTTTCCTTTAATGCGCACTTTGCCCGACAAAAGAGTAATTTGAAATAAAAAAAAATTAAACTTGACGTACTTTGGTTCACAAAAATTTGTTTATAAATAAGTTCTGTGTATTAAAACTTTTACCTGCTGGTAAATAGAGTATGTTGTGAGTTAAAAAACCGACGGTAGCAATTCAATAATTCATGAGATGCTCACAGGCGGCGGGAAATTTTATTTTTTTTTTAATTTTATTTTTTAAATTTCATCAAATACGCACAAATTAAATAATTCGCTCCATCAAAACTCGCTTACAAATCATCAATTAAATATGTTCAGTAGAGAGAGGATAATTGTCATATACCAGTGTATATAAAATTAGTAATCGCTTTATCTAAATAATTTTTTACTCACCGCAAACAAACACGTTCTTCATCATCCGTACTCATTTTTAATTCAACTATAAATTTATTTATTTTTTAGGCACAGATGCCACACGTTCCATACAATTTATGCTTGCTTTTTGATCAGTTTCCATTGCGTAAAAATACGTTGCAGCATTCATTTCATATGAAAAAAGCGATTATATTCTGGAAATAAAAATTTGAGCTTTTTTCATTTAATTATCAAAACCATTCGAAAATTAACTAAATTATTTTTCTATCTATTATTTTTATTATTAATTATAAAGGCTTTTTATACCTTGCATATACATGTAATGGTAAATTAATTTTGGTACGAAGTATATAAGTATCAGTAGGATCAGATGGCGAGTTAAGTTTATTTATGCCCCTCTGTCCGTCTGTTTGTATGAAAATTTTCCCCTCATTTTTTTAAATATTTCAACAAAACATTTTACACACTTCATGCATGTTGCATGTGACATTCATACCATTTATCTAAAATGGCCAGATTGAACAACTTTTTTCGTTTTGAGATATTGGGTGATTGGGGATTAAAGTCTATTCTAAGCCAATGGATTTTTATGAGGAGCTTTGATTTGATGGCAATGCAGAGAAAATAAAAATTCGAAATTTACTCCCAATAAAAAGCTTGACTACTGGACTTTTAGGTCCACATAAGGTTGGGACTTTAAAAGCTATGAGCAGCAATGTTCTTAGCATTCGATAGCATTGTTAAGAATAAAATTTTCTTGGGTCAGTGAGGCAAAATAACAATAAAAATTTATATACTGTACTGTATAGACGAGAGCGAATGACGGATAAAGCTTTTAATTGAAGAGCGAAGTAAGTAGAAAATATGCTCTAGTGATATTCATAGAAAAGTGTAATATTTTTTTTTAATTTTGTACCTAAAGGTCTTGTTTGTTTGGTAAGGAATTAAATAGGAAAATATTTTTCTTCTTTACTGGCGTATTCACCGCTTACGGGATTGCAGTCTAATCAATATATCCCTGCTTTCAGCTATTTGATACCTGTTAGAAATACCAAGTCACTCTCCACCAAATCTCTCCAAAAGAATGGAGACTTTCATCTTGCTGTGCTTCCACCAGCGGCTAACACATCGGATACTTTCAAAACTGGAGCGTTTTCATATATACAAACGATATGAGCGTGCCAGCGTGGCCATAGTCTCTTCATCCGCTGAACTCTGTCTAAACCCCTGTATAACTAGTATAGCTCATTGTTCTGCATTCGCCGTTGCAAATGAGGAAAGGATCAAGACTCTCAAGGTTGACTCATCGGATGTTCATATCGTCCACGCTTTAGCACCAATAGCAGAACGGTAGCGATGAAGGACTTGAGAGTTTTGTATTCGTTCGTCGAGATTTTGCGTTGGATTTTAAGGTTGGCATTATTATTGGTGTTAATACTGATCCTTGAACAGATGAAATTATCGACAACCTCAAAGCACCGATTTTTTGTTTGATGTCAGTAGATATTTCGGCTTATCCTCGTACACTATCATACTCGTTTAAACTAACCGAAAGCAGAACTCACGGCGAGAGTGTTGTGTGAGTATGATATGATGTTAATTTCATCGGCACGATGAAGAGTCACCCTGTCTGAAACCTCGTTTGGTACCGAACAGCTGGAGAGGTCTTTGCAAATTCTGAATGCACTTCTGGTGTTGTCCAGCATCAGTTTACAAGGTATAAGTTTTACAGGGATACCAAATTCAGACAAAGCGACGTAGAGGCAGCTCCTTTTCGTGCTATCGGAGGCTGTTTTATGGTCCATGAAAAGGTGGTGTGTATCGATTTATTTCCCAAGGGTATTTTCCAAGATTGGAGGAAGGTTAATATATGGTCAATGGTTGATTTATCAGGATTAAAGTCGCATACATATTTGAAGTGGAAAGCTATTTCGGGTAGGCGTTGCACCACACTTGGTCTATTAAAACATGGGCGCGGGCCTTTTGCTTTCCACCCACCTATAGACTCAAAGCAAATATTCAATGCAATCAACTGAACTCGAACCTAAATTAGTTACAAAATTTTCAATACAAAATTTTATAATTTACATTAAATTGCTGACGCAGCATTTGATTTTACATTTCTTACGTGAGAGCACAATAATTTTAGCGAAAACTTAACGAAACTAATTACTCGGCGAGATAACATTAATTAACTTCCTGAATGACAGCTGTCAGTTTGAAAGCAATTGTTAGGTATTCTGTACAAACTTTCAACAACTACTTTTGAAAATATATCTTTTTAATCCTGCAGATATAGATGTCCAATCGAAAAAAGTTTTAAAATTATTTCAACTACTTTTTACCCACTAGAAGTGCTAATTTCATGATTAGTTTCTGCATATCTGAATATTTTACAATTCTACTTGCATTAAATTATGTAATTAAGTTATTAATTTTTTTCTTGCTTTTAGCTTAAATCCTCAAAAGAATGCTTCTGTAAGTTTAGGAACTTATGACAACTTTCTTCACACACCCACTTGCCATCACACTTAACAAAATATTTACTGTAAATACTTTAGACCACGCTTGAGGAACTCAAGTGAAATCTCAGAAAACACAGACAAAACAAATAGGCAAAAGAATAAGAAGTTATAAAAAGAAACGCACAGACAACAAAGACAAACGGCGACTATAAAAGCAAACGGTGTATACGGAACTGCTGTTGCCGACAGAGGCACTCTCCAGCAATGGGAGCCTTAATGAGCAATATTTTCATCGTGTTATCACAATTTAAGTGACACACACATTGCCGAGCTTACTACATACACAAAAATATACAAACTGCAAAGTACGCCAATTTATAGTGGTTTATTTGTATGTGTGCAAGTGGTGATGCGCGGAAGTAAGTGGTGGTGGTACGCCTTGGTGTATGAGCAACTTTTTGCATTAAAGTTGATCAGGCATATAACAATTTGCGTGCCCACAAGCGGAAGATGTCAGAAAATGAGGGTGGTAAAATAAAAGAAAAAAAAAAACAAAAAGCAAACAAAATATATTAGAAACTGTTGAGCAGGTCGACCTCTTGTCAACAGTGATTTACTTGCAACTTGTTGCATGGGGCCACGCGTTGGCGCTGCTAACAACATATTTCCAGACATATACGTATGCGAGTATACTTGCAGATAAGTATAATATTGGATGCGAGTATATGTAGGCATTTACTTAAAGGAATATTTTTACATATTATATAATATATAAATGCATGTGCATTTTAGCGTACCCGTAGGTTTCGCAGGTGTCTTGCAGTGGCTGTTTCTTTATGGTGCTTTTGGTGGTTTAAGTTAGCGCGCGAAATGACTTGGCAATGCGCCGTTTACTACCAAGCATTGAACTGAGTTTATATTTTATACTATTTAAGTGCGGTTTTTTTACATAATTTATTTTGCCTTTGGCGATGTTAGTAGTGCATAAAAAAGTTAAAAGAAACGAAAACAGAGCTGTCTTTGACCATATCGAAGCCTTTACATGAATTTTAAAAGTTGTGGGGAGTAATGTAAATATCGTTATATCTTATACTACATCATGTTAAGGAAAACTTCATAAAGGATATCTGACGGACATTTCAAGGAACACTAAGTCCATAACTGAAATATACCAGCTTAGAATCTAGTTTATTCTGCATATTCCTATGGACTTGGAAGTGTTCAACGTAGGTTTATTCATTTTACTTTCGTCCATCTTCATTTCATTCATCAATACATTGCAATGAGTACCTAAAAAAGAAAGTGGTCTAAGGCCTATAAAGAAAGCTATCAGGAAAATCTTCTAAAGTCTTCTACACTAACATTGAAAGTATTTCAAGCTGAGTTTATTGCAATCGCGGAAGCTGCAGAATTGTTGTTCAAAACACTGGGTACAAACTAATCAATCACCATATACTCGCACTGCCTGATTTCCTTAATGCAATTCTGTGCTAATGACAAAATTCATGCTGAAAATAGCTTTCAACATTTAAAGAATTTGCAAAAATGCAAAAAAAACCTATCCAGAGGTTTTGTCTGTGTTGGAAATTAAAAGATCAGGAAATTCATTTCTTCAAGACCGGTTTACCATCAATACAACAACTAGCATGTTAATGGGCTCTCACAAGAAGAAATCTGTCGAACACTACCTCTGACACTTAACATAGTATATGACGTTAACTTTTAGAATATCTTTTTTTTTTTTGATTGCATGGCTGACGCAGTAGCAGTTCAAGTATAATGCAATGTTCATAATATTGTACATACTAAATAGTTTGAACATCTGAGCAGCCGATAACTACACCTTCTCGAACTTCAGCCAAAGACCAAATAACGACTGAACAGAATCTTTTAGAGAGACACTGGATATTCTCGGCCGACATAACGCTTTGCGATATTCTGTCGAGGGTTCAGAAAGGTTTCGCCACACACTAGACTATTTACTGGGTACTGAGTAATGAATTAACTTCAGAAATTCCTAGGACAAAAATTGGAAACAGGTTAAACTTTTCTAAATAAGGAGTCCGTCTTTAACTGATTATGTCGAAAGAGGCACACCACAGAATGCAGTTCTCTGTCACCTTCTTGTGTTTAGCACTTTGCATCCCAATTTAAGAAAAAAAGGCATACGCTCACTTCATCGCCCATTCTGCGGCTGGAAAACATCTCGCAAATTCTATTCTATTGCGGTCTTGATGTACACAAATTCTTCCCAGACCTATTTGGTACTGTTTATCTCATATGATGCTTTTGAATCACACTCATACTGAGGCCAAGCACCGGCATATAATTTTGAAAAGAAACTCACTTTGAACTGAAATGTGGAAAAGATAATTGGAAGCGGCGATCATGCTATATTATATAAGTGGCAATAAGGCGGTCCTCCATCCTCAAAGAGGGCCCAATCTTTAATACCTGAGAAAGCTCCTTTTAACTGTTATTAATCTTCTACCGAAGGGCCTTGTCAGTACCAGTCTTTTAACAATGGAGAAACCGCAGCACAGGACTCGTTCAAATATTAATAGGATGTTGTACGAGATCCTCGCATAAGATGGATTACACTACATCAGTTCTGTTTTGCTAATTTTTACCGATATGAAGTTATACTACTTTTTTGTCTTGGTCAAAAAAAAAAAAACTACGCCGGCTTGGCGGTCAAGTATGAAAAAAGCAATTCTTGATGGCCTGCT